GGGCATTTAATTATATAATAATCATTTTGTTGGAAACAAACTATTATTAGGATTTTTTTTCTCTTAAAAAATAAATAAATAAATAAATAAAACGTGCTGGAATAATATGATTACAGTGAAATTGGTGTGAACGTGATTGTTTTACTGATCGTGTTTGTTTGGTGAACACAGTGAAACTCATTGTGGAGAAGAGCAGCTATCACACATTTGACAAATATAATAATCTGCACGTCTGAGATTTGAGGGGTTTTCAGCAGCGCTTCAACAATGAAACATCAGCTCTGAATATAATCTTCATCAGATGTGAGGATCAGTTAGTTGATGTGTGTGAGTGACGTCACGTTACAGCAGCAGAAACACATCCAGCTCTGAACAGAGTCCTGCTTTTCTCCTGCTGCTGAAGTCAGATATGTTCAGTAAGACACAAGAGCATCAGTGAGCTCAGATACTGACGATGCTCATGAGGAGCACTCTTCAGATCTTCTTCACTGCAGTCAGTAAAGCAGCACTTTATGGATTCAGAAGAACAAACTGCTGCAGCTCCACATTCTCTTCAATCTCATTGTGTGTGCAGCGTTAAGATTGCTTTTCACTGCAATCACTGGAATAATAATCACAATATTACGTGTCATTTGTTCTCTTGTGTTTCCATATGCAGGACTGAAGTCAGTTTGTGATTATGGAGAAAGGAGAGAGCAGAGAGAGCAGAGAGAGAAGAGATTATAGAGAGGATAGCAGGAAACCATGGGTGAATCTCATCAAGATCATGAAGATCATGTCTGCCTCATATTCATATTCAAAAGTGACAGTAAAGACATTTATAATGTTACAAAAGATTTCAATTTCAAATAAATGTTGTTCTTTTGAACTTTCTATTCATCAGAGAATCCTGAATCACGGTTTCCACAAAAATATCGGGCAGCACAACCGTTTTCAACATTGATAATAATCAGAAATGTTTCTTGAGCAGCAAATCAGTATATTAGAATGATTTCTGAAGATCATGTGACACTGAAGACTGCAGTAATGATGCTGAAAATTCAGCTTTGATCACAGGAATAAATTACATTTTAATATAAATTCACATAGAAATTATTATTATAAATAGTAATAATATTTCATAATGTTTAACACACAAAGAGATCAAAATTAGAGAACAACCTACAATTTCCTAAATTTCAAGGTCACTGCTTAGTCCTATTAGAAGTTATCCTATCCGGAGTAGAAGGGCAGTTTTTTAAAGCATGTTTCATAAATTAATTGTATTCTGAAGCACAGTATAAAAAACTTAAAATGACATATCTGAAAAAGAACTCTGATCAAAATTAGAGAACACTTTCAGATACCTCCAAGTTACTGGTGTTAATCTGGTACCTGGTGCTAATTTCATTAATTATCTGACAAACCCTGTTTAAAGGCACAATATGTAATTTTTCGCCGCTAGAGGGCGCGTATTCAAAATAAACAAATACACAAAGGCGTAGTTAGATGACGCCGTGACTGAGTGTGGAATCATGGGAGTTGTCGTCCTCATCCCCACAGCCGATGCAATCCGACGGGGCTCGGGCAGAAATCATGTTCATGGATGAGCTAATGATTTATTAACGTAGTAGAATGAAGCAGGGTGAGGCTGAAAGCCGTCGAAGCGAAACGAGGCCGCTGAACGAGCGTGACACACGGCTGGAAAGCAGCGGAGCTTTTATTATGCTACAGTCGACCGCTTCCGCTGCTTCCGGTCGTGCGTATGTGGGGGAAAAAAGCAGCGCTGTTTTATCATACTAGATACATTTGAAAGTTCTGTTATTATGCTACTCTGTGCGGGCGTCACCGGTCTATTAAAACGCACAACATATTAAAGCGTGTTTGGTGTTTACATGTTTTCTACAAAACATAATGCAGAGACTCTCAACGGGGAATCGGTTCAGCACTGCAGCTGGAATTGCTCGTCAGTTCAGCGCTAAAAAGGGTCTGGATCTGTCTCAGCTCGTTTAAGAGAAGTCGGACTGAAAGCACAGTCTGCAGAGATCAAGCCTCTCATCAGCAGAAAGAATCAAAAGGCTAGACTCACCTTTGCTGAGGAGCATGTTGTGTGGAGAGAGAAGAACGGATCCAAAGTTCACTTTAGTGATGAGTGCAAGTTTAGTTTATTTGGGTCTGATGGGAAACATAATGATCAGCATCAAACTGGGGAAAGACTGAAGCCAGAGTGATGTGTGATGGTTTGGGGGATGTTTTCTGCAGCAGGAGTTTGGTCTCTTATACAGATACGTGGCAGGTGAATGCAAATGTTTATCAGAACCTCCTTCAGCAACATGCAGTTCCTTCCCTGCAAGCATCTCCCAATCAAAAGACAATGTTCCCGTCACACTGCAAAACGGGTAAAGCAGTTCCTTGAAGCTGAAACACTGAAATAATTAAATGACCGGCCCAGAGTCCTGCTCTGAACCCGACTGAAAATCTCTGGAAAATCCTTGGCGACAAAGTTCTGGCTAAGAAACCTACTACAGTCACCGAACTATAGAAGAGACTGGAAACCCGACTGAAAATCTCTGGAAAATCCTTGGCGACAAAGTTCTGGCTAAGAAACCTACTACAGTCACCGAACTATAGAAGAGACTGGAAGAAGAGCGGAGCAAGATCACAGCAGCGCAGTGTGAGAAACTAGAGATGTGCTGAAGTCACTCAAAGCAGGGCCTCGACAATTCCTACTGATTTCTGACAGCTGTAACCCTGTAAAATATTAGTTGTAATCTTCTTTTGTGCTGCAGTGGTTCCTGTTCTCTAATTTTGATCACTGTGTTTTTCACAGAATAAAGGTTTTTGTTGAAATGCCTTGGTTATTTTGTCAAACATACTAATAGAACAGTGGTATACCTACAGCTAATATTCCTTCAAATTTTGTTTGTTGAAAAAATCAAGTATTTATTTATTGTTCTCTAATTTTTACCTCCACCGTATGTATACATATATATAATAAGGCTGTTTTTATAACCAGTAAGATTTTTGCATTGTGATATTATTTATGACTGCCACATCACAAAATGCTGTACAAGCGGAAATGTCTCAAACACAGATTCATCTGAAAACTGTCCAAGCGTAGCCTGCATGTGTGTGAGTGGTGTTTCTGGCTCTGACCTGGTGCAGCGGTGAGCACTGGATGAAGTTGATGGGCGGCTCGCTCTGTTTGCTCTTCAGACGCAGCATGTTGTCGGTGTAACCCCAGCTCAGAATAGCCGACCACTGTATGTCGGTGCTGTGCATGCTCCTTACACCTAAGAGACGAGGGGAAAACACTTCATTTGTTCTGTGAGGTGATTTTCTACGACAGCACATTCACTCATTTTCATTTCCTCTCGTACAATGGGAACGGTGTTCATTCGTGTGGATAACTGTGATAAGACACAAATGCAGATGCAATAAATGCACTAGTAACTGGTCATGGACCAAAACACAGTCAAGATTAGTAATTGGCTGATACATAGCTGAGCTGATTAATCATTCAATATTTTCATTTTAAAATTATGGCTGTTGTTTGATAAACTGTGCCTGCTTTTCCCATTAAAACAGAAAAATCTTGTTTTTTGTTTTTTTTTACATCAGGCATTAACATCTGCTTTACTGAATAAAAACATCTGCTAATAAATGTACAAACATAGATAAATAAATGAAAATGCACTAAATACATCTGGAGCACATCTGAAATTCATAAACACTACCGTTCAAAATTTTGGGGTCAAATTTTTTTAAATGTTTTTGAACGAAGTCATTATTTGATTCATTATTATTTATTTGATTAAAAACATGCAGTAAAAACAGTAATATTGTGAAATATTACCAAACTGTTTTCTATGTGAATATATAGTCAAATGTAATTTATTGCTGTGATCAAAGCTGTATTTTCAGCATCATTACTCCAGTCTTCAGTGTCACATGATCCTTCAGAAATCATTTTAATATGCTGATTTGCTGCTCAAGAAACATTTCTGATTATTATCAATGTTGAAAACAGTTGTGCTGACAAACATTTTTGTGGAAACCGTGATACATTTTATTTTTCAGGATTCTCAGATGAACAGAAAGTTCAACAGCATCAATTTAAAAATAGGATTTTTTCTAACATTACGTCTTTACTGTCACTTTTGATCAACTTAGTTCATCATTGTTGAATAAAATTATTAATTTCTTTCATAACAACATCTTACTAAATGCAGAGAGTTTATATCAGGTTTATAATTTCATATTTAAGCATGATGAAGCAGGTTTGTGTGTGTGTTCTCCTTCACCTTGCTCTTTGCTGTAGATCATCATGAGGCAGAACTTGCGCGAGAGGCCGCAGATGGCACGCGTGGGCAGCGCCAGCAGGGAGCCGAAGTGTTCGCCGTGAGGTTGACTGAAACAGACCACGGGGTCCGGAGCACTGGGGGATCCCACATACTCGCCCCATTTCAAGCCCTTTATCCATGGCAGAGGACTCTAGAAACAACAGTAGGGGGATTAAAGATTTTAAAAGACCAACTGGATAATTTAGGATCCAAATAAAGTCTTTCTCTTCCAGAAGAACCCACCATTTTCAACAACAAATAGGTAAACAAAAACTAAAGAAAACTGTGTGCGTTTTATATGAATATTTTTTATATGAACTATTCCTTCAATGTCAGACTGAATAATAATTTCAGCGCTGTACGTTTGCTGTACCGGGTAGACGGTGTCTTTGGGCTGCTCGCGGCTCTCTCTGAAGGCCAGCTGCACCAGGAGGCCCATGGCTGCGGGCAGTTCTGCCTCTGACAGGAGTTTGGTTCCGGCTCGGCTGATGTGCGAGGCGTTGAACAGCTGTCTGGGTGTTTGGCCGTACGTCTTGATCATAGTTTCTAGAGCCCGACGCTGCACAGGGTCTTCAACGGCAGATACGTCCATGCCAAAGTAAGTCTAAAAAGAGAGGGAGAGGAAAGATGAGTCAGATACTAGTTGACAGGCCGAAGCGGATGGACGTGTCTGATATGGTTTATCAATATCTGCTGGATTAGAGAAACATACATTTCTGGCTGATATATCTTTACGCTGATATATACACTACCATTCAATAATCAGAAATGTTTCTTGAGCAGCAAATCAGCATATTAGAATGATTTCTGAAGGATCATGTGACACTGAAGACTGGAGTAATGATGCTGAAAATACAGCTTTGCATCACAGGAATAAATTACATTTTACAATATATTCACATAGAAAATGGTTATTTTCATTTGTAATAACATTTCACAATTTTTACTGTATTTTTGACCAAATAAATGCAGCCCTGGTGAGCAGAAAAGACTGTCAAACACATTTAAAAATCATACCAACCTTAAACGTTTGAATGGTAGTGTATGTAATCTAATGGTCATAAAATAACCTAAGCAAAATATAAATTCTTACATTTTCTTTCTTTTTCTGACTTTGGGTTGAAATATGATCTGGACATGTTTTTGGCAGGCTTTGATCTACATATATATATTTATAAATTCCAGCGTTAAGTGTGCAGTAGCTGTACATAATAAGGAATCGTACTGCAGGATGAAAGACATTCATGGCCTGGACCGCAGCTTTGCCCTTTTGTTTGAGACCAAACACCAGGTCAATCCACTGGCAGAGCGTCTGGGAGACTTGATCCGATTCCAGAGCCTGTCTGTGGATGAGGATGAAGAGTCGCGGGTCATTCCTGGCCCATGGCGGCAGATTCACGTGGTTCACCCGCTCGCTGTTCTGCCGCACGCCAAAGTCAAAACCTGCCAGAGGGGAGAGTGGGAAATATCATGCTAACATTAGAAGAGGAAAGATTTGTTCAGATAATATGATTCTAATGTGCTGAACAAGAATGTTTTTACATGAATATTCATCTTGAAGATCTAGGTTACTTAAAGGTTATTTCTCTTTTTTGATTTTGATAGGTATTTCAGAATCAGAATCAGAATCAGAATGAGCTTTATTGCCAGGTATGTTTACACATACGAGGAATTTGTTTTCGTGACAGAAGCTTCCACAGTGTAACAGAATGACAGTGACAGAACAAAAAAACACAGATAATTAAAAAAAAAAATAAATAAATAGAACAAGTAAAATAAGGAATAAAAAATATACAAATCGACAATTGTATGTACAGGTATAGAACAATAAACAACTGCGGAGCACGCCACGGAGGCAGCCATCAGCGTGAGCAAAACTCCCGCGGCGAGTAGAAAGGCTTACAGTTAATGAAGAGCACTTCTAGATCTGAACAGCACATCTTCTTTAACACAGTTACATCTGTACACCACCTCTCATTAATGTAAAAGCATGTCCCGCCGCCGCGCGATTTCCCAGTTGATTCTGTGTCGCGATCTGCTCTAAACAATTCATTATTTCGCTCCAAACTATATCATGGTGCCGAAAACCCGGGAGTTTGGACTTTATTAACGAGCTTTAAAAAGGAAGTTTGGAGTTAGCTCGCGGCTTTGCGAGTGAGCGAGTGAAAATGACTGAACGCTACGAGCGGATGAGACGGAAGCGCGGAACAATTAGAGCTTCCACTACAAAGATTTTGACTCGTATAGGGAGCGTTGGGCTGCTGCGAGCCGTCTATGTTTTGTTAACCATTTTATCGTCATTTGTTTTCTCATAAACTTTGTTCAGTAAAGTTTGCGCAAAGCAGAGTTGTTTCCCGATTTATTATTTCGCTCCAAACTATATCAAGCTGAAAGCCCGGCAGACTATTGGACTTTATTAACGAGCTTTAAAAGGAAGTTTGGAGTTAGCTCGCGGCTTCGCTCTCTTCCCCCGTCTGCGCGTCCTGAAGCGTTTGATCAGCGCCGCAGCTCCCCCGACTACAATGTCCAGCAAAACATCAGAATAATCAAAAACCGGTGAAATATCGGGTGGTGTGTACTTCCGAATGTCCAGCAATTCATCTCTGGTGAAACTGATTGCAGGGATATAACTAAAGACAGGACAAATGAACAAAAACATAAAAACAACTATGGAGCACGCCACGGAGGCAGCCATCAGCGTCGGCGCCATCGCGAACAATTTTTATGCCAATAAGATTCAGAGGCATTTCATCATTTCAATTGATAAAAACTATCGTCATATCAAATATACGCAGAAGCTTAAAGGTCTTCAAAATAAAAGTTCGGTTTAACTTGAAGAAATTATGACAGAAATATATTAGTATTGTATAGTAGCATGTACCTCTTAAAGTAATAATAATAATAAAACATTTAAAATATCGCAATTTTTCTTCCATGTTTTTATTTTAACAGTAAATCTCTGTTGTGCGCACTTATTTAGTTAATGTTCATGTTTTATGCCTTCATTTGATAACCACCATTTTTTTAATAAATTCATATTAAATTGTGAATCCAGAAAAATTAAAACAGACAACACACAATTCCCAAAAAAAAAAAAACCCATTTCATAGGGACCCAATATAAAACAAAAAAAAATTAAGAAATTATTAAATTGTTAAAGTTTTATGAATTAATTTGATTAGAAATGCTTCTTGACTATAACAAATTTAGAAAAAAAAACTTTTACTAAATTTTAAAACTTTTAATAAACTGTTGTTAAATTGTACAAGTTTCATGATTTCAATTAATTAGATATTCTTTTTGATTACTAACCACTACCATTAAAATGTAATCCAGAAAAATGGATTTAAATGGAATTTGGGGAAAAATTTGTGCTGTCAAATGATTAATCGAGATTAATCACATCCAAAATAAAATATTTTGAGTGTGTGTGAGAGAGTGTGTGTGTGTGCGTGTGTGTGTGTGTGTGTGTGTGTGTGTATTAGTGCTGTCAAATGATTAATCGAGATTAATCACATCCAAAATAAAATATTTTGTGTTATATTATGTATAAATATATTTAATATATAAACATATTTTTCTGAAATATATACTGTATGTGTGTGTATTTCTACATACATAATAAATATACAAAGTACACACATATATATATTATGTAAACAAAAACTTTTATTTTGGATGCGATTAATCGCGATTAATCATTTGACAGCACTAGAAAAAATAAAATAGAATTTTCAATCAGTCAATCAATCAATCAATGAAATTGATTTCTTATGGCCCTAAAAATGTAATTATTGTTAAACTTTTAATAAATGGTTGTTAAATTGTGTAAGTTTTATGATTTCTACTAATTATACATGCTTTTTGATTACTAAAATTGAATTTAACCATTAAAACCGAATCCAGAAAAAATTGAAATGGAATTTGGGAAAAAATAAAATGGAATTTGGGGGCGGCGGGGGGGCGGATTGCATAGGTCCTACATTTTCATCATTAGATCTCATGAGAAGTTGAGTGCTAGAAGAAGAGGTCAAGAAAACCAGGAGTATAAGAGCGCTCACCTTCTCTGTTGACCAGAAACTCTGGCAGGTAGAAGAACTCTGGGATGAGCTCTTTGACATCCGTCATGGACTCGTAGGACGACAGACGCCACGTGGTGTTCATGGAGTGGAACGTTCGGTCAGGAATATCAAAGCTCTGGTCTGTGAGACACACAAAACCTTTCATTAGTTTCTTGTGTAACCTGATATGGATAAACCAACTGAACTAAAAATAGACTGAGAAAGAAGGAAAGACGAATAAAGAGACTGGATGAAAGGCCTGATCATCTTTCTGAAGCTAATGCATGTAGCGCAAGACTTCAGAAAGGCCCTTTTCAATGACAGCCTTTAAAAGCATCGCACTGACATGTTTGAAGACCTCGCTGCAAACACAGGAAACGCAGGTGCTGTTAAATATAAAAAAACGTAGCGATGCAGAATCCTAATTATGATGCTGAATAAACTCAACGAGCTGCAGCTGTGTAAGGCATTCATACGGTGTTCTGACCAGACAACAAATCATGCATTCAGTCTTTATTAAGGGCGGCTGCATTATATTTTAAGTATTTGATTTCATGTTCCAGAGCTTCTGTTTTCTTGATTGGGCAAATTTTAAACAATTAATTAAAGTACAATCAAAGTACAAAAAAGTACAATCAAAATGATGAAATTATGTAATAAGGTACAAGGATTCATGTTAAAATATTTTCATGTATAAAATAGATATTGCCATTTATTAACGCTGTTAAAAGACTGACAGAATAATAATAGTCTGAAAAATCTCATTTTTAATCAATTTAATTCATTTTTTAAAAATCCATTTTTAAACTGAACAGTGTATCGACAAAAAATTTAAATATCAAAAAAGTTTGCATTTGTTTTTGTTGACCATCATATTTGATACATCAGGCTTTTATGGCTCATATAGTCTGATATAGTGAGAATATGGAGGAAAAAACAGCTAAATTTTATTCAGAGGCTCAAACTGAGCGAAAATATGCAATTTAGTGCAGATGCTGATATTTATATATGGCCAAAAAGTGATGAAATTCTGATGCTTGTAATGTAAATCAATGAGATCTTTATAACAGTACAGCAGATACCTACATAAAAGTATTAAAAAAATAAATTAATCAGTTGTCACTCTATATCTCCAATAATATGTCTTAGTAAGATGATATTTAAATGCTTAGTTTTATGTTCAAAGCATATAATGCAATGCAATACAATGATGATTGAGAGATGAACAAATAAACGCTCCTCAAAATCTTGATGATCATATTTGAGACTTTTGAAGACTTTTCATGGATAATCAAGTAAAGCCGAGCTGCTTCAGTCAGTAAGTGTTCATCTGTACAATATCAAAGTTATTCTTACATTTACTTTATAAAATCAGTAAAGCTGACGTTTGAGTTTACACTAAAAGAGCTTTGACTGGATGAAAAACTCTAAACTATCAATCAGACGACAGAAAGCATGATTGTGTGCGACAGGTTTAACATCAAAGTTTGATCATGTTGATCATTTAGAGGCCTTGCATATCAAATATGATTCAGAAGGCTTTATAGGGTTAATTATCATTCTTTGTGTTCATTTAGTGAAAAATAGTGTGGAAACATTCTTACTGCTTTAGTTTTTACATTAAACATTTTGAATCTGCATGGAGTAAGTTTGGACTAAAGGATAAATGATTTTGAAAGTTTTTTTTAAAAGTCAAACTGACCTTGATAGGCCAGAAACATCTTGGTGAAGGGAGGCAGCCGGACGAGGAAGTGCAGGACGGTGCCGCTGTTGGAGTAGTGAGAGCCGTAGTGATAGGGCTGGACGGGGGGCATGGGGTCGTCCTCTCTCTTGCCTTTCTTATACTCCTCCTCCAGATACTGTGGAGGAAATCAATGTTAGTTACACTTACACACACTAATGACACTAAACATGGAGGCTCATGAAGCAGTAATGCAACGCATTATGGATACAAATGATGCATGTGTAGAATGAAACAGGCTGTGTTCCAAAACCTTACCTATGTAGGCAGCTGTCTTCTAAGGTAGCATGCTAACTGAATTAGTGTCTTATAAATGACTAATGCATGGGACACTTGATTCACAATAATTTTAAAAACAATGATTTTAATAGAGAAAAATAAATGATACTCCCACAAGCATAAAAATACACAGCATATACTGTATATTGAGAACAATATGGAGTAATTTGAGTAAAATTGTAACGATATTTATTAAATCACATTATTATTTAATAATTTAGTTATTAATATTATAAATAATAATATATATAGGGATGCTCCGATCGATCGGCCGGAGATATCGGTATCGGCCGATAATCACATTTTATGACTCGATCGGTACTCACTATTTGGCCGATCTGTGTGTGTACTGTGAATATTTATTATGTATGTAGAAATACACACACATACAGTATATATTTTGAAAATATGTACATGTATTTACATGTATATATTTATATTCATATAATTTATATTATGTATAAATATATTTAATATATAAACATATTTTTCTGAAATATATACTGTATGTGTGTGTATTTCTACATACATAATAAATATACAAAGTACACACATATATATATTATGTAAACAAAAACTTTTATTTTGGATGCGATTAATCGCGATTAATCATTTGACAGCACTAGAAAAAATAAAATAGAATTTTCAATCAGTCAATCAATCAATCAATGAAATTGATTTCTTATGGCCCTAAAAATGTAATTATTGTTAAACTTTTAATAAATGGTTGTTAAATTGTGTAAGTTTTATGATTTCTACTAATTATACATGCTTTTTGATTACTAAAATTGAATTTAACCATTAAAACCGAATCCAGAAAAAATTGAAATGGAATTTGGGAAAAAATAAAATGGAATTTGGGGGCGGCGGGGGGGCGGATTGCATAGGTCCTACATTTTCATCATTAGATCTCATGAGAAGTTGAGTGCTAGAAGAAGAGGTCAAGAAAACCAGGAGTATAAGAGCGCTCACCTTCTCTGTTGACCAGAAACTCTGGCAGGTAGAAGAACTCTGGGATGAGCTCTTTGACATCCGTCATGGACTCGTAGGACGACAGACGCCACGTGGTGTTCATGGAGTGGAACGTTCGGTCAGGAATATCAAAGCTCTGGTCTGTGAGACACACAAAACCTTTCATTAGTTTCTTGTGTAACCTGATATGGATAAACCAACTGAACTAAAAATAGACTGAGAAAGAAGGAAAGACGAATAAAGAGACTGGATGAAAGGCCTGATCATCTTTCTGAAGCTAATGCATGTAGCGCAAGACTTCAGAAAGGCCCTTTTCAATGACAGCCTTTAAAAGCATCGCACTGACATGTTTGAAGACCTCGCTGCAAACACAGGAAACGCAGGTGCTGTTAAATATAAAAAAACGTAGCGATGCAGAATCCTAATTATGATGCTGAATAAACTCAACGAGCTGCAGCTGTGTAAGGCATTCATACGGTGTTCTGACCAGACAACAAATCATGCATTCAGTCTTTATTAAGGGCGGCTGCATTATATTTTAAGTATTTGATTTCATGTTCCAGAGCTTCTGTTTTCTTGATTGGGCAAATTTTAAACAATTAATTAAAGTACAATCAAAGTACAAAAAAGTACAATCAAAATGATGAAATTATGTAATAAGGTACAAGGATTCATGTTAAAATATTTTCATGTATAAAATAGATATTGCCATTTATTAACGCTGTTAAAAGACTGACAGAATAATAATAGTCTGAAAAATCTCATTTTTAATCAATTTAATTCATTTTTTAAAAATCCATTTTTAAACTGAACAGTGTATCGACAAAAAATTTAAATATCAAAAAAGTTTGCATTTGTTTTTGTTGACCATCATATTTGATACATCAGGCTTTTATGGCTCATATAGTCTGATATAGTGAGAATATGGAGGAAAAAACAGCTAAATTTTATTCAGAGGCTCAAACTGAGCGAAAATATGCAATTTAGTGCAGATGCTGATATTTATATATGGCCAAAAAGTGATGAAATTCTGATGCTTGTAATGTAAATCAATGAGATCTTTATAACAGTACAGCAGATACCTACATAAAAGTATTAAAAAAATAAATTAATCAGTTGTCACTCTATATCTCCAATAATATGTCTTAGTAAGATGATATTTAAATGCTTAGTTTTATGTTCAAAGCATATAATGCAATGCAATACAATGATGATTGAGAGATGAACAAATAAACGCTCCTCAAAATCTTGATGATCATATTTGAGACTTTTGAAGACTTTTCATGGATAATCAAGTAAAGCCGAGCTGCTTCAGTCAGTAAGTGTTCATCTGTACAATATCAAAGTTATTCTTACATTTACTTTATAAAATCAGTAAAGCTGACGTTTGAGTTTACACTAAAAGAGCTTTGACTGGATGAAAAACTCTAAACTATCAATCAGACGACAGAAAGCATGATTGTGTGCGACAGGTTTAACATCAAAGTTTGATCATGTTGATCATTTAGAGGCCTTGCATATCAAATATGATTCAGAAGGCTTTATAGGGTTAATTATCATTCTTTGTGTTCATTTAGTGAAAAATAGTGTGGAAACATTCTTACTGCTTTAGTTTTTACATTAAACATTTTGAATCTGCATGGAGTAAGTTTGGACTAAAGGATAAATGATTTTGAAAGTTTTTTTTAAAAGTCAAACTGACCTTGATAGGCCAGAAACATCTTGGTGAAGGGAGGCAGCCGGACGAGGAAGTGCAGGACGGTGCCGCTGTTGGAGTAGTGAGAGCCGTAGTGATAGGGCTGGACGGGGGGCATGGGGTCGTCCTCTCTCTTGCCTTTCTTATACTCCTCCTCCAGATACTGTGGAGGAAATCAATGTTAGTTACACTTACACACACTAATGACACTAAACATGGAGGCTCATGAAGCAGTAATGCAACGCATTATGGATACAAATGATGCATGTGTAGAATGAAACAGGCTGTGTTCCAAAACCTTACCTATGTAGGCAGCTGTCTTCTAAGGTAGCATGCTAACTGAATTAGTGTCTTATAAATGACTAATGCATGGGACACTTGATTCACAATAATTTTAAAAACAATGATTTTAATAGAGAAAAATAAATGATACTCCCACAAGCATAAAAATACACAGCATATACTGTATATTGAGAACAATATGGAGTAATTTGAGTAAAATTGTAACGATATTTATTAAATCACATTATTATTTAATAATTTAGTTATTAATATTATAAATAATAATATATATAGGGATGCTCCGATCGATCGGCCGGAGATATCGGTATCGGCCGATAATCACATTTTATGACTCGATCGGTACTCACTATTTGGCCGATCTCACGAACCGATCGCAATTTGATGACGTCAACGCGTGACGACGTACATGATGCGTGGGGACATAAATGATTTGGCGCCGCAGTCATGTCATCGCCGGTGTGGAAATGCTATGACTTTTCGAGAAACAATGAAAAATTCGCTATTTGTCGTGTATGTTTTGCATGATGATAAATGGATGGTTCATTTTTAACTGCAGATTCAGTGACGTTAGAGCTGATCTGCGCCTCACTGCACACGTCTGCAGCGCGTTACGGCTCCACAGGCACCGGAGCTGAGCAAATTTTATCTGGAATGTCACCGTTTCTGTCACTGCTGCGTAAATCAGACGGACTTACTGAAAATGCTAATTAATTATCTGCCAGCGGGAGAAACAGCGGTTTCCCCAGTAACGGCTGTAAGTTACACAAAGCAGCGCTGAGCTCACAAACGCTGCTTTATCAGGCATATAACATGCAAGATGAAATGAAAATGACATCGAAAATTTTCTAAAGATAGTCTTCCTTCAGAAATACAGTGATATAAAAACACCCG